AGACAGTGAAACCAATGTATGATTGCATTGACTATATCAATATGGATTAAAATATGGTATTAGACCTCAAACTTTTTCCTAAATTTTGAACAATCTTACCCTGTGCATCCCATTCCAACTTTGTAGCATCCTGTTGTGGTCTCAAGCAGAACTATACTGGGTAGAAGAAACTACTCTTTATTTGTGCACTGTTGCAGAAGTACTTTTGGATCCCACTGTGCCAAGCGCCTGACAAATACACAATGAAAACATAGTTTCAGCACATAAAGTTCACAGCTGAAAAAGTAGCATATCGGCAACGGCTCTCCTTATAAGTAGGGTTTTGGCATAAGCAAAGGCAGTTTCACAATTGCTTTAAGCCACATAATTATCTGTTTTGAGCCAGGTCAATTCTTTGATCCAGGGTTCTGTGGGGCTGTACAATTCCTACTGCTAATACAATGGAGAGAGCAGGAAGGCAAAATCAGAGTGGACCAAGAGGGAGACTGCCTCTTCTGGCAAAATAGCTGCATTTAGATCAGTTTAAAGGGACTGAAAACTGTGGCCTTGATTATGGAGGAGGTTGTTGTTATTGTAGGGTGAGGACTTTTATGGAGTCTTACTCAGGTATGAAGGCCTTTTTCCAGTGTAGCTTGTAGCGTTTGAGAAGGAATTTAAGCTAAATCAGAAACAGCCACTCCATTTGCTCTCGTTTGCCAGTAAGTTAGTGCAGGGCATGTTGTTGCTTACAGAACCGTGCTTATGTTTTATGGTGAAACTTTTGCACAGAGGTCAGGTCTTTAACAAACGTTGCATTTTTCAGATGTTGGCTAATGCATTTTTGCAAAGCTTATCTAGTCTGGGATTTTAAAGTTGGACTGTCTTGTGGCACTGTTTGGCTTGGCCCGAAGCATTCTCAACAAACTGTAAATCAGACAGATAAAAATCAGACACATTGAGTTGATCGAAGTGGCTTTCATTTGTTGAGATATGACATTCAATCAGATCATTCTATCTCTATGTCCACTTTTAGTCAAATCCTGAGTATGGGGTAAATGAAGGAAGTGGTTTGGGGTTGTTTTTTATGGCAACCAAAAATGTTATCTTTCTGATAGGCATCTATACATAATGATTCATTTTGGTAATTGCTCGTTGACTCCACTGGCAGGCTCCTATTAAAGCGAGCCTCTGTGTGTGTATGTATGTGTGTATATATCTCTCTCCATGGTTTAACTTATTTGTAATAGCTTACACTGCTGGTACCTGCCTCTGGTTTGTTCGAATAGCCTGTTGTGTTATTGCTGGGGTGCCTGGGCTGGGGAGGAGGCTTGGCTGATTTCCCTAGCTTAGTGTTTACTTGGCCTTTACATTTCGGTCATGAGCATGTATGTCCCAAGCTAACGGAGCCAGAAGGAGACCAAGAGATGTACTTGTCCATCTGGGCAGAAAATACTTAGTGCCATTATGGAGATACATATTTCCACCCTTACGGTGGTAAGCGGTGGTGGTGTGTTTGGTGGCTATGACCACTGTGTGGAAGGTGCAAGCCACGGAGCAGAGCTCCTCCTGAGCTCACCTGGCCGACGAGTGCACAGCCTCTTGTTTCTCTGCACAGACCTCCTCTGGGAGGAAGTCTGCTTCAATGTCAAAGCAGGTGGAGTAGAAAAGGCTCACGTTGGGCTCCTGTACTAGACTCACCCTTACTGAACACCACTTTGTATCAACGGCATAAGTCTGTTGGTTACACTTCCTTTGGAGTTCAGGTTAAGTGAGTGGTGTTAAGTTGTCTGACAGTCAAAGCTGTAATGTCATCGTGTGCCAGGGATGGGGAACGTGGTGTGAGCCTTCCCAATCCTGTTGCATCAGGAAGGCTCTTGCATTGGAATAGTTGTGGCATTGTATCATGGGGATGGGGGAGCTTTGGGTTTGAAAATAACTTATAATGTTTTTGATGGTGACTTGTTGGTTACCTAGAATGACAGTGGTAATGAAGTCAATTGTCATGTTTTCAGATTATTTAAAACTGTTGACTCTCACTTTGTGATGTTTAGTTATAAATAGTAAGTTCCTTTCAAAGGTATGTTATCCTTGCCTAATTCTATGGGCCTCGTTTCCAAAACAGCTGTATTCTGAGCATATCATTACCTGAAGCAGATTTAAAGTAGCTTAGTGGACTCCTTGGTATTGATAATAATGTAACACCTTTGCAGGTTCTTGCCACTGTATTCTCCCGGGGCTTGAAGCTTGCTTTCTTTTCCTCCTTTCTGAACAGTAAGCTCAAATCTCTCCAAAATAACGTGATAAGCATGTTTTGCATGAGGACCCACTCACACTGAATGCAAACTAGCCTCGGTGTTGAATGTAGCCACCTTTCCTCAAACCCATTTTCTGTGGCACTGCAAAATGTTCGATCAATTTTGTGGAAGCTGTATGAAGGCATGTATGTAATCTCTGAATTTTATCTCTGTTTGCAAATGTAGCATCTCTTAATTTCTCTGTACTGTGATTCTTCATTGCCTTTTACTCTATTTTGGAAGGTGACAGGACTACTGAAGCATTCATTGCTTCTGAGCCAGGGTAATATTAAACAAATTTGGTTACATGCTTTGGGTATGTAAACGCATCAGATTGGTGGTATACTCTGTCCTGTTTGCTTCCACCAGCACACCCACTCCTGATGTGCATGCGAAGTTCAATGTATACTTTGCAAACTGGCTGAGGTAGTGCATGTAATTTATGTCTTTGCTACATTTTGTGCCATGTCCTTGATTCTTCGGTGCACCTAAGCGCAGCCATTACACTGTCTTATGCTATGGCTTATGTATGTGAAAATAAATGGACAGGCCTGAAGAATTTTTTGGCACAGGTTAACTAGGAGAAAATTGTGCTCTACAGGGGTCATCTAGACAATGAAAAATGCTGACTTAAACGCAGTATTTCATACTTAAGGCCTGCAGTCTTCATTTGGTAAATATTTCCATTAAAATTAGTGAAGCTGTTTACAGGTCTGGTTCTGCTTACATGGAACTCACTAGGAAAAACCCTCTGACTCCAGAGACACCACGTAACCAAATCTGAATAGCGTTGGTCTTTCTGGCCTTACATCATTTTACTTAAAACTATCCTTCTTCTAGTGTTAAAATAGGAGTTGATAAATACTGTTTTGTAAAATGGAATTGACTCTGAATTTGTCAGGTGACTTAAAGTTGTCTGAACCAACTGCTCTCAGTTAAGAGCAATGTAAAGAGATCTGAGTTTAAACAATATTCAGCTCCTCATTCCCGTTAAATTGAAAATTCATGCACTAAAATTGACTTCTAAAATTTAACACCTCACAGGAGAGAGAGAGATGGTGTATGTGACTGTTCAGGAATTAAATTGTGGAAAAAGCCATCTCTCGTGGAAGTACAATCCTATTTTATTACTGCCATTTAAAAATCAGCATGAAGTACAATTATTAAAAATCCCATATATGAGGCAGTTTAATGACAATGCCCAGATTTTTTAAAATTTTTGTCCATCAGTGCTAAAACATCACAGATGTAAGGACTAAAAAATAATAATTTTTAATGTAATTTGGTCATACAGGTGTGAAAGTAGAACCCACATTTAATCAGTTGTCTTCCCACAATACTTCATTTAAAAAATTTGTTTTAATTTAATTAAAATAGTAATGCAGTGTGTAATTGCTCCAATTTTTTTCTTCTTGAATTTATAATGGACTTAAACTATTACTTATTTTATATGCTTTTATCTCAAATTTTGTTTTCATACACACTGATGTTAACTGGCTATAGACTTATTCTCAAAACTGTTACAGTAAGGTTAATAACCTGTTTATGTTGAAAATTCAAGTTAACCTTACTTTACAAATAGGCTGGGAAGAATGCTTCTTTCACAGTCCCTTTGAAAGAAAGTTTGGGCAGCACACGTCTACAGAGTTACTATTTCAAAATACAGAGACCAGCGCTGTCAGTAGCACAAATGATATTATCAGCTCTCTGAAGCCTTTTACTTCTCTGTTGCAGCTTCTTTTCTAAGCTCACAGTGTCTCTTCAGCCTTCTTTAAGCTGAGAGCAAACCTATCTCTTCTCGGGGCTCCAGAGGTACTGTTTTTTTGCCTTCTGTTTCTTTACCAATTTGTCTTTATCTGGTGAGCACAAATGAACTATATGTCTTGTGGCAAAACACAAGCTTGGAGCTGCAAAATCCTGTTTCCCGGCTAGAGAAAGAGAGTGTAAAATTGGAATAAACCCAAAAATATTTCTGTCTAAGATAAGGCCTTTTTGGCCTTTGTTTGTCATTTGTGCTGACAGGGCAAGGGAATTTCAAGTTTAAAACAAGCCTGACTGAAAAATACTGTGCTTTCAAAATTTCCTTTTCTGCCTTTTTTTCAAGAGAGATTCATTTTCCTTTTCCCATTTTTTTAGCTTCCGCAAACATTTTGTTTGCACTCATTTAATTTTTCACCAGTTACACAAAAATTCAAGCTCCAGATTCATAGTAAAGTTCATGGTATTCAATTCACATTTAAAATAACACTGAAGTATTACTTTTGCATGTAGAGAAGAAACTTGTTTTCCGTACTTCGTTACTGACTCTGAAACAAGAAGAGAATCAAATTTTAGTATTAGGATTCCTCTTCTCCAGACAGTTACATTTTCTACCAACATTTGCATGTTTGGCTGTGCCACGTACATCAGCACTGGAGGTGTGCTGCACATTTAACTACGCCATGCACACTGCAGCGCCTCAGGTTACCCAAAGGTTGCATTGCATCCTGTGGCGCTCTGTACCCTAATTTAGCCTGACATTATCCTTTGACTCATCACGTTAGATTTGGTACACCGTGTATGCCTGTATGTGAGAGGATGCTTTGTGCTGTACAGTTACCATAGACTGGAGGAGTTGGCGTTAAATGTTGGGTGTGATCTCGTGTTTGAGCTTCCTGGATCGGTGCGGTGGCCTGGCGCTGAAGAAAATAAGTCAGTGGTGCACTAACAACGTGTTCTTCTCTCTAGGCAAGCTGACACAGGGGCCCAGAGGGAAAACCCACGGGAGAAGAGGGATCAGCTGGACCAGAATTTAGGCCACAAGTGGAAGGCATCTGTCAGACCTTTGCATGCGCGAGAGCCTACGGTTCTGCCTCACGAGAGCCGGGGGAGGTCTGGGACATTGCCTAGTGATTACCGATACTCTCAGGAAAACGTGAACGAGAAGAGCAAGGATCGCAGCCTGCCTCATCTCCCCTGCTCTGAGCCACAGACCTTGAACGAGAACCACTTCTGTCTGTCCCGGGTCAAAGGAGAGGAAAACCATCGAGTAGAGCCAGCGCTGCTGAACAAGAAGCGTGGGCCTGCTCCTCAGAGGCCGCCACCACCTAAAAGAGATAAATACAGGCGACCAGATAATTCTGCACTGTCACTTGGCACCTCGTCTGAATCTCTGCTGGTAGCACCCAGCCGGCCCTTTCCGTCCTCGTCCCCCAGCTCTGCCGAAGCGCTTGCCAGTCACTCCTCTCTCTGTCAGAGCCCTGCAGCTTTCAATGGAAAACTGAAGAGTGCTAATCCACAGCAGCTCCAACAAGCGTCATCCAAGGAGAATGTTTGTCAGCACTTAGAAGAAAAAACGCACCTTAGGTCTGAGTCTGTGTTATCTTCCAAGTATCGATATCTTCAAAAACCTGGCATGGAGACATCAAGGTCCCCTTCTCCTCAGTTTGCACCACAGAAGCTCACTGATAAACCTCCTGTGTCTGTACAGGATGAGAACCCAGCCAGGTACTAGATGTAACTCCTTTACTATTTTATTAACGCTTTTTGCCCGGTTAGACCTTGTTAACGGTTGGCTGTTTGTTTTCTTTACTAAAAACATGTCCTTTGGTTTCATTAAGGGTGAGCCATCCCAGCATGTCCTAAAGAGACCTAAGACTTGTGTGAAATTCCAATTGGTAATATTAAACTCCTTCAATTGGTCTGTGGTTTCTTTTAGTTGACTGGTGCTGCTCAGGTGTTACAGCTGGTAATTAGTAGAAAAATGAAAGGGATAGATTCAAATGGATTTTCCACTGTAAGCCTAGGTGAAATCAGAAGATTCTCTGTCATCATTTCCTCCACCCAAGTCTGTATATGAATATGAATCGGTTTAGGGACAAAGCAGATGTGGAAAGGGAAGCTATATCCTTTGTAAGAACATTTGTTTTGAAAGCACACAGTAGGGTACACTGCCAAATCATGACTGTTTTCAGGTTGCTTTTACAATGAGACATAGCACTCCAGGTAGTCTGCGGAGGGGTCCACAGTGCTATTTGTGCTGAGGTGGTCTGAAGAGTCAACAGGAGAACGTCAGTCCTTTCCCAGGCTAGATAAACTCAGAATTAGACAAACTGACTGAAATTAATAGATTGTTGTGGCTGTCATATGCTGCTACCATCATAAAAGATTATTCTCCCACAAGATAACAAACTCTTCCAGGAAGCTCAGGAATCTTAGCTGTCATAAATCCTTCAGCACTATAATTCGTGGTTAAAAATTGAAAACAAAACCTCCGGGCTGAATGAATGCAGAGGTTGCTTCTCTGAGCAAAAGTAGTTGGGATAGCTTTTCTGCTGTAATGTAAATGGCAGAATAGACTCAATCATGCTGTTTCCAGTGTGCCTTATGACGTAGAAAACATGAATCACTTTTTCTCCTAAACATGCCTTGATGTTTTTCCTGTTGTAACCGGAGGAAAAAAATGATGTTTCATCCTGCAGTGTTTTTAGCATGAAGTAATAATACAGTTTACTATGAAAAGTGCAAAATGTCATGTGAACCCTAGCATCTATGTGCAAAGGTTAGATGACAGTAATGACTTCCTTAATGTATTGCTTTGACTTCCTTAATGTATTTCTTTATGAATAGATACTAAGGATGCATAGAAGGCTAATTGTATTTGTCCTTCCTTTTTACTAAGCTTTAATGTTGAAAAGAGCACTGAGGTGTGCCTAATTATATGCCCATATCTGAATGATAATACACTTACCCTGCAAATCTTTCGTTAACATTCAAAATTCTTAAGCCCAGGCGGCTCTTGTTGTGCACAATGTATCGTCCTCAGTTAATAATTACATTACTCATTAAAACAGGTATGGCAAAAAAGAAACATATGCAGGCCATACCTCTGAACTTCCTATATGGTATTTACTATATGGTATTTATTTCATATGAATAAAATATGTCTAGTAGATTTATCTTAATACATGATTAATTAGATTTAGCTTATTACTTCTGTTGGCTTCTTGCGTATGAGCTTTTGGACATGCCAGTTTCCATGCTGTGGGCAGCTAATGTTTGATGATGTCAGGGTGTAGCTGTTTATTCTTCTTTAAGAAATGTGTCTGGTTTATCACCAGGATAAACTGAGTGAGTGTGAAGGGTTTCCTGCAGTGTTTTAGGTATAATGTGGGGAAATATTGGTGGTGTGCAGAACCCAACTATTTCCAAGGATGACTGTTTAACAATAATAAAGATGAAAAGAATCTATTAGTAGATGTGCATCAATAAATTTCCAGTAAACATACACTCAGGTCAAGGAGTGACTGTGCTCGTGGTTGGAGTAAAGCTTTGTAATGACCACAAGCAGAATTGCTGCAAATCAAAATTTCATGCCGCAGTTCCACAAATGGAAAACCTTCAGAAATCAGGAGGATAGTGATTACAGAAACGGAACTTCTGAAGCACCTGATGTTGAACTGTCCTTGCTATGACTTAAATCAGTCGACTTGATGATGCCTTAAGTATTTGGAAAATCTTCTACTAGGCCGAGAGGAATGTACTCAGAGTCTCAAAACAGATGCAGAGTATTTTAGGTAAAGAATTGTAGTCAACTCACTTCTTCCAGTTGCTTCACACACGCGTATGCACGCATCTTATGTTTCCCCCAAACTGAAAAATGTGTTCCTCTTCACAGTCTACGGAGTCTGAAAGATGTGGGGTTTATTTAAAAACTAACAAAAGAAAGGGTTGGGGTCAGTGGTAGGCCTCTGCCCAGCTCTGCTGCAGCCAGGAGGAGACCCCACGTCTGCAGGCAGGGAGCTGGGGCTGAGTGCTTTGAAGAACAGCGAGTTCTTCAAAATGACTGAAAACACCCCGACTGAATGGGAGAGGGGGGTGTTCAGCATGGGCTGGAAAAACTGCCCCAAAAGTTGGAGCAGTATGCCAAAGCATATCCGCAAAGCACTTGAGGAAAGTAAATACCTATTGGGAGGCTGCACATTCATTCTGAAGCAAATATAAGTTTAAAATATAAGATACAACTTCTGAAAAATAGGAAATCAAACAGATTTTGCTATTCTCTACAAAAGAAAAGTACAGCACAATAAAGTATAAGTTTATTTTTAAGGAAGGTGACACACCCACACTTAGAGGAAAGGAGCTGTAGTGTGTCTTGGTCACTTATCTGAAAGGCAGCAAGCAGCCCAGCCAGATGAAACCAGATATTTTAGCTAGTAGGCAATGTTCCTTTACTTGCTGTAGAGCTTCCAAACCCACATCATGACAATAATTTTAAACTTTCTGCAAACTCAAAACCACCAAACTAGACTTCATTTTTTTTGTATGATTTACATACAGTACAGATGTTTCAATAATGTTATTTAACATGTTATTGTCCAATTTAAAAATCTTAAGTTAGCCTTCTCTTTAAATAGCTTGCCATACTGAATGTCCAAGGCAGTCCTTTGTGCTATGCAGTACGGAATTTTTGCTATAAGCTTCCCTTAAAAGGGAGTATCCAGAATTGTGTGTTATCCTCTTCACTGGCTGGTTTTTCTTCTTTAAGGAGAAAACTAGGACACTATGGTAGGATCTATTTGTTAAACTTCTGTGTCTTGTGTGAAATTTTACAAATACAGATTTTATTTTTTCTAAATCATGTAAGTTTTGAATGATTTCCAGGTTTTCCATGTGTGATTATTTGTTATTCTTGTAGCTCAGCAAAGACCTAGCCTGCAGGATGCTTCCATCTGGTCTGTTGTCTCTTCCCTTGGAAGAGCTGGGAATTGATGTGAGGGCGTCACAAACTCCCCAGGCAGCTAAGCTGCCTGTCAGGCCAAGAGCTGAGGCCACTGTTGGATCTGTGTAAGGCAATGAGGTTGAGCTGGAGGCACGTTTTCCTCTGTATGTGTAGCAGCAAAGGGGGTAAAAGGCAGTTCAGCAGCACTGCCTCAAATCTGGGGCCTGGCTGCTGAGGTTGGACCCATACATTCATGGAAGCAAACAGAAGTCTTGTACTGTGAGTATTGTGCAAGGCTGATGTTAGGATTACTTACAAATGAACTAATACTATTTAAAATGTGTGAGGAGAAAGGAAAACATGCAGATTTAGGGTTTGAGGTACAGTGCAAAGAATATTCTATTACCCAGATCTCTTATCTACCTTTTTCATGTTTGGGCTTCCTCTCTGATTTGCAGATAAGAATCGAGATGTAACGTTCTTCCATTTCTAAAGATGAATTTTCCTTATTTTCTAGAATTGAAAGGGTTATAGACAACAATACTACGGTGAAAATGGTTCCCATCAAGATAGTTCATTCTGAGAGCAGCGCAGAGAAGGAGAGTCGGCAAAGTCTTGTCAGTACTATGGAGCCTCCTGCTTTACCCAGTGGTTTGGAAAAGGACCAAATTAAAACACTCAGCACTTCTGAGCAATCCTATTCGCGATTCTGTGCTTACACCAGGCAAGGTGTAGAGCCAGAGCCAGAAGCCAGAACCAAACAAGCTGACCCTCAACCAGCTGAAGAACCTGGGACCAACTTGAAGGACAGCAGTGCTGCCACACCAGCAGTCAGCTATGTAAAGGCCAAAGAGAAGACGTTTGAAGACTGGAAGTCGGAGGAACTAGCCAGAGAAATTGTGGGAAGAGATAAATCTCTAGCAGACATACTAGATCCTAATGTGAAAATAAAAACAACAATGGATCTGATGGTTGGAATATTCCCTAAAGATGAACACCTCCTAGAAGAAGCTCAGCAGCGCAGGAAGCTCCTGCCAAAAGTTCCTTCTCCAAAAATTTCAGAGGAAAAGTGAGTATTACTTCCTGTAGGCCAGTGGTTCCTTGTAAGCTGCTGTCCAAAGGGTGTCAGTTTTCCTAGGGGGCTGAAGATGAGGATCTTCCTAGTGTTGAGGTTTGGGGCTTTTCTAAGACTTCTCCGTTAGAACAGCAGTCGAGCATAATACTGCTAACGATGCCATTAATGACTGAAAAAGTTCAGTGTTGTACGATATGAAGTTTCCTGACACTTACGTGAAAACTATTTGTGTAAGAACTTAAGGAATAATTACCTTCTCCCCTTTCTTATTGATTAGATATTTTACCACAATCATCCAGTCTAGTAACTGGATAGAGAAAGAAGAATCAATATTTTAGCCTTTTTTATGCGATGGAAATTTAAAAAGACAACTTGAAGGGGGCATGAGGCATTTCCTGGAAATGGATGAGAACAAATAAGAAAGGATTTAAATTCCATCCATGTTGGTGTTCTGTGCGTCTTCTGTTTTATTCATAGAATCATAGAATGGTTTAGGTTGAAAGGGACCTTAAAGGTCATCTAGTTCCAGCCCCGCTGCCATGGGCAGGGACACCTTTCACTAGACCAAGTTGTTCTAGATACAAGTTACCAAATTAAGTTGTAGCCTTCTCGAGAAGTTCATGTGTAATTCCATCATCAAAAAGATAAATACTTAAATTGTGGTATCCCACATTTGGCAGTCTGCAAGGATACTCTCTATGACACTGAGGTCTTTGCACTACTTAGTAAAATGAGGCTTTACAATTTGTTTCCAGCTGAGATACCTTAGGTCCATTTCACTCATTGCAGTGGTGGAAGGTCTTCTGTGCTACTTCAGTTTTAGGTTTTGGTGGGCATGTGCTGAGTTCACACAAATTTTCTTTACAACCAATCCTATTTCCATAGGTAATGGCTCTCTGTTGAACCCCCTGCTTGTTTGGTGAAATGATGGCTCTAAAAGGTTGCCCTTTCTTTTCAGCAATTAGGGTGTCAAGGAAGTTAATGAAAGTTTTGACTTTTTACTAGGAAAGAGGAGCAGAGCGCACCGTCTGCCATCTCCCTGACAACCAATTCTACGTACTACAGCACATCTGCACCAAAGGCAGAGCTGCTGATTAAAATGAAGGACATGCAGGAGCAGCAGCAACAGCAGCAGAGTGAGGATGATTCTGAAGATGAGCTGGATCATGACTTGTCAGAAAAGAAGGTAAAAGACATTTCTAAAAGCATTAACAGGAGGCTTTTGTTTGCACGCATTTCATTAACTGTGAATTTGCTAGGTAAACACCCCTAAATAAAAGGCCTTCTAAATGTACAGGATCACTTGGAAAATCAGCCTGATTTTTTTAAGGGGGGCATGGGGGAGATTATTAAGTGTCCAACTGTGAATTTAGGAATTTCCTATTAGGTGCTTTTTGCAGCTTGATACACATTTTGGAAGGACCCAAAGGGAGAAGTTTTGGGGAGGTTATTTTCAAATATTGTTTTCCATTTGAGATTCTAGTGTATCTCACTTGCTATATACAAAGAAACAGTGCTCACGTATCCCACTGCAACTGGGTGGTGGTTTCAGTTGCTCCTTATTTTTGAAATTTAGGTCCAGGATTTGGGTTTGTCCTGAGAGAGAAGGAACACACACACACACTCCCTTCTCTTTTATTTTTCTTTTTTCTATGAGCAACAAAACACTTTGCCCTCTATTTCTTTTGCCTCCCAAACTAATAACAGTAATGGTGGTAGATAGCTAACCAGTTTGGTGGATTCAGTGGAAGTTGCTCATCAAAAGGGAGGCAGTCATCTTCACTCTTGTTCGTCCTTATCCTTTAGTGTTTTATTTCTGATCTGAGGTCAACATAATCCTGTAGATATTAAAATGATCATATAATAGTATTTCTGTGGTTTGAGAAAGTGTTGTCCTCCATTAAAATCATCACACATCTCATTAGTGATTTGGCACAAAATATTTCAATCATAGTTCCAAGTACTGATAAGCTGGAGGAAATGGTCTGTTTGATCAATTGAAGTGATGTAGTTTAACTCCGTTTACCTAAGCCAGTAATGCAGTGGTGTGCAAATCTTTTCTGTTGAAGTCAACTCTCTGCTTAATAATCAACTGCCAGGGTGCATTTGGTAATCCAGTCCCAAAGAAATGTCTTTTAATTAAATACTAGGAATATATTTAGTTGCTATGAATGAGAGATTCCTTAAGAGATTCCCCACCTCTGGTTCAATGCAGGAGTGGATGCCACTGCATTTGAGGGGGCTGTAGCGTTTTCTGTTACCACTCTGGGGTGGTTTTTTTCCTTCCCTCAGCCTTCCCTCCCTCCCTCTGCCCCCACTGCATCACGCAGTTCAATGCAGCGTGCACTGCTAGGGGCACAGCGTGGGTGCAGCGGGAGAACTGCCCTTACCCTCTCACCAGACAGCCACTGAATCCAACAGATGTACTACTTAGGCAAATTAAGGATTTTACTGCATTTGGAATAATTTGGTTTTATCTGGTGCCACACATGACGGTCACGTTCAATGCTTTTGCTAGAATTAGTTTAATTCTCATAAATTATGGAATGTATGTATGGGTGGGGGTGTTAAAATTAAACCTTTCTTCTTTGCCCAACAAATTAAATACTAAAACTTTTATAAGCAAAAGTGCCGTTTATTTGTGTTGGTGTCTGTTAACAGGAAAATCATGTTCACACTTTACATACTCATCCCTCCATCCCCCTAGCTCCAGTATACACCACTAATCATATGAGATAGGAAGTATTTCATGAAGAGCTTTTAGCAGAGCTCCCCCATCATCTCTGAATGTACATATTGTCGTAGCCACACACACGTTCCTACTTACTTCTCTCACTGCTCCACCACATGCATTAGGATGCGAGCACTCAGTTCAGTGGGCTTTCATCTTGGATCTTGTCAGAAAATGTATAAAACTCATCGTAAGTGGGTCAAGGCATCTTTATAAAACAGCCAGAATATATAACTTGATCCAGCTTCACATATTTGGCAACGGTTTAACAAGGGATCCTTAAGGACATGAACACTTTAAAAGCACACTTTACGACTTCAGTTATTTTCGAGGAGGCATGTGCCCAGAACCTGTTCCTTGATTCCTAGAAATGGGTCAGTTCTGTTATGAGATATCTTAATTGCAGTCCACTGTGGAATGATCGTAATATTTGTCATTCTCTGCTCTGCAAACCAGAAATGTGTGGTGCTTTTTTTTTTTTAAATCATTTGAAATATAAGTATAGGAATTTCATATAGCGTCGTTAATTTTTTATTTTTTTTTATAGTTTGGGACAATCCATGTGTTCCCAGCTAGCAGAAATGGAATGTGTCTCTCATGTACTGAATTTAATGTAGGTTTACCACAATTATAAAATATTGAACAGATGTTGAAGACACTACAAGATTGGTTTTTGTAATAAGGAAAATCCATGTGTGGCTGAGAAGGAATTGTCCCCTTTGCCTTTAAGAAAGTTTCAGCAACTCCTGAAGAGTGTGAAAATAGTTGAAGAATACCAAGTTTCTTCTGCTTTTAGGCCTGAACTTCATGTGAAAGGGAGTGGTGAGCTGAGAGCAGAGTAATTTACATAAAGCACGCCAAGCAGTGAACCACCTGAGCAGCGCTCTGCTGAGCTACTTTCTGTGTTGCTGGTCAGATCAGCAAGAATTACTGGAAGAAGATCAGGTTTTATTGTTTTCTTGTTCACTGGTACAGAATTCACAGCTATAAATTATTCATCTGCCAGTTTCAAGATGTAGACGGCTCAGTAGATATTGAACATAATACAGGTTTTCTGCTGGTTAGCAAAAGCATCTAGTGAGCTCACAGCTGCTTCATCCAAAGCCTGTTTCATCTGGGTAGGAAACAATCAGTGATCATAATCCAATTCTTAACAGATATGACAGTCTTAAAGAGGGGCGAGTACTTACGGCCTTCTCACCTGCAAAAGCGGTCCTTTAGAGGCTAGCTTCAGCTGCTTGGGAACATCTAAATAGGATGCTACTGGGAAAAATCGCACTTTTTTTTTTATTTGTGTTTTTTTTTTCTTTTTGGGTTTTTTTTATGTAAGAAAGAAACTTTATGAGAGATCTATCTGGATTGTCAGACCAGATAGGTAATGTTAAGCACAAGTATGACTTTTTTTTCCTCAGAGAAAGTCACAGCACAGCTGCAGAAGTGAAAAGCTCGAGATAGTAACATAGAGCACAACAGTATCCTGTTGTGTTTTGGATGGTAAAACAGCAGTGTTGTGCACGCGCATGTCATCTGAGGGAAATGAGAGTGTAGCACTGTGACCTACATAATCCAAATCAAACTGCATTTGCATTGAGAGGAAAAAAAAATCAAATCCTGCAGATTAATCAGTCAGTAAAGCAGGCATCTGTAGAACTGCTTACTACCTTAATCTTTTGGGCACCCAGACTAACAGATAACCCAAATCCAGATTAACCTGGCCTGAGTATATTAAATCAAAAAGGAGAAAACTGGCCTGGATAATCCATGTGTTGAATTTCTACCTTCAAAAAGGCTGTTAAATTTTCAGGGTGTAGTTGCTTTCTGTTAAGATGGCAGACTTTTGTTGTTGTTGTTGGGGTATTTTTGTTCCCAAAATGAATTGGCAGTGACTGTTCAGTGGTGTCTGAGAGCAGTAGCTGCTATCAGTATGATTCTTGGTAATCATGAAGGCTTGTAATCAGAGTTGCATTTAGAAAGCAGAGTTCCTAAAGAAGAGAGGGAGTAATTCCCCTCCCCCCCCTCTCCCCCCCCCAAAATTGAAGGCGTACTGTGAAATAATGACTATTTTAAAGGATGTAATTTTCATTTAGAAATTGCACTAAGAGGTGCAATTGGAGAGAACGCTTTGGAAATTTTTCTTACCTGAAATTAACTGAATGCTAAATAGGCATCTACACTTAAATGAATGAGTCATTTTTAGGGTGTGATTCATCTCATGGTAGGGTAGACGACTAGCTGAACTGACTTCCACCCTTTTTGCGCAAGTGAAAGCTAGTGGACACGTAAGAAATGAGCCCTCATGCCCAAAGGCAGGGAGGTAGCTGGGCAGCACGGATGGAACACAGGTCACTGAGGGATGAGATCTGGGTTCTCGGTCTGGCTCTGCTGGTGATGCGCCTGACATGCTTCTTCTAAGCCAGGGCATGTGCATCCCAGGCAGTGGGGGATTATACTAGAGAAACCCCAACAAACGGCAGATGAGGTGGTATATTTGCCTGGCATAGGACAGTGACAGCCAAAGATGCTTGTTTGGTCCTTTGGCAGCGCCACTTTGCACAGCTTCACACAGGGCTGCTTTGTATGATACAGAAGT